ATTTTCTAAAATTTTTATGTTTTTATATAGAAATTTTAATATTAAGATTAATATATAAGATTAATTAAGTTTAAAAAAAAATTAAAATATTGAAAATTTTTATTTAAGAGTATTACTAATTTTCACTAGGGTCGAATATCTTGAAGGCTAATTGGAGTATCGATAAGTGTCGAATTATACCTTTGGTTTCGCTTGTAAATTTCTTTCCGACCTCTAACCATCGTTTCCTCTTTCCTTTAGGTCTGCTGTTCAAAATCGGGCTTATTATTTCAGGGTTCGGCGGCAATACTCGTGTCAGTTTGGTGTTGCGCACATTAGCCTTGACAATTTCCTTTTTTCCATCTTTAGGTTCTTGATCACGCGATTCTGGATAAGTTTCGTGGCACATAGCTGTTATTCTGGTTTCGTTCATCCATGCTTTAAACTTAGCCACCTTTTCTTTCCATTTATCACAGGCTTCGTAAAGGTTTTCACTATTGATTGATTTGCTTATACACATGTAGGCCGGTTCTTTATCCTTTTCAGTTCCAGTTCTTTTTTCATAGCAGGAGCCAAGACAGTTTCGTTCATTCGAATAGCCTCCTTCAGCATTGTTCAGATACCATCCGGGTGCTTCATAGTTGGCCTTTTCAACTTCAATTCCATAATAATGACCGACATTAAGTGCTCTCTCAGCGCGTTTTATATCGGCATCTTCCTGACAGTCTTTGAATGCTTCACGTTTATCTTTTTCGACTCCAATTTGCTCGACTTCTTCCACACCATTTCGTTTGTCTTTTTCAATCCCAATTCGTTCGTTTCTTTTAACTTCGATACGTCCGGTCTCTTCAATTCCAATGCGCTCGGCCTTTTCAATTCCAATACGATCGTCTTTTTTGGTTCCAATTCGTTCGTCCTTCTCAACTCCAGTATGTTCATCCTTTTTAATTCTAATTTGTTCGTCTTTTCCAATTCCAATTCGTTTATCTTTTCCGACTCCATCTCGTTCGTCCTTTACAACTCCAGTTCCCTTTTTGTAACAATGTCCCAGCACTTTCGTTCCATCTTTTTGAACTTCCTTTCGCTCGTTTTTTTCAACTCCAATTCCATTTTCATAGCGTTCATCATCATTATATTGGGCATTCGCATTTCCATTTTCATAGCGATAACCAACACTAAATGCTCCATTAAAAACAACCATATCTGTAGATTTTCGGTAGTAAGTGAATGCCTCCATTTCATCCCTTTTTACTTTGATGCTATCTTGATTACAGTGGCCAACATCACACATTCCTTTGCCATTTTCCATATCCGCCGGTTTTTGATAATAGACGAAGGCTCTATGTTCATCTTTTCGCATATTTTCCACAAATTCTAACGTAAATTCAAGGGCCCCAGGAATCTGCTCAGCTTCAAGGGCATATCCAAAATTTGCATCGACCATTTCTTGAACCTTTTGGAGTTGCTCTTCGGTAAGTGTCGTAAGGAGCCTGGTGCACCTTAGATCTAACCTTCTGACCTCTGGGCACGTGGACATGATGTGTCCTTTTATATTGCAATAGGGACATCGGAACCTCTTTCGAAAGGACTTTGGCGTTGGTTCGTAATTTCTATATTTCTTCTGGTCTTGCTGTCACCGGGTCGCTTTCGTTCGAGTTTCGTATTGCTCCCAATTTCGCAGTTGGTATATTTCATACATTTTTTTTTTTTTTTTTTTTTTTTTTTTTTTTTTTTTTTTTATTTATTTATTTATTTTGTGTTGACTTTAAACTTGTATTAACAATAAGTTTATTTTACTGATCCTATAGCTTTATTGTTACTTTTTGCTTTAAGCTCAAAGTTTATTTGCCGATCCTACAACTATATTATTGAAGGTTTTCTTTTTGCCGATATTAGAATTACTTTTACTTTTAAGTTATTCCGGGATTGCACTTTTATTATGTAATAGGTATGTGTTTACAACTAGGTCGGTATATCAACTCTCTTGCATTGGCGTCTAATACTGGATAAATCCAACCGGGAAGTATCTACTTTTTGCTTTTTTTTTTTTTTTTTTTTTTTGTTTTAATGTTTCTATCGATACTAACGGTTCTTCTTTCTTTTTTTTTTTTTTTTTGATTTCTTGTACGTCTACCACGGGCTATATCCGCTTTTTGCCGGTACGTTGGCTGGTTGACTCAAACTTTTATTGTACGACCACAAATCGGCCTTTGGGATGTTGATTGTCTTGTGTCAGCATCTAATACTCGAAGTAATTGGATCGGGAAGTATTTTCTTTTTATATTTTGTTGGTTTATTATAATTTCTCTATACTAATAATTAATT